CATCATAATTACGTGTTATGACGTCCGATCTCATTAAAAACTGCATCAAACACTAATTCAATCTTTATGTGACTTATGTGCAAAAAAGATTTGCAATCGGATAAAACACGTTTATGCACCAGCGTTCCAAAAGTGTAGGGTAGCGGTCAAGCGTGAGGGGGTCGAGCCACCTTAATACACCACTTCGGCGCTAGCCATCACTTGGTATACATTTTATTGTATTGTGTTACGATCACCAAAAAGATCGCACATTGTTCTTCGGTACAAATTAATGTACTGACTTTTAAACAAATTATTTACTTGATTTGCTGAGTTAGCTTCCTAAATACAAGCCAAATATCATTTTTCTAACTTGTTTGAAGCTTTCCTTATTGCTATTTAGAGAAACAGATAAACCAACCAAGTATATAATTTGTCCAAAAGCCAGTACATTTGTACAGGAATCCAAAAACAATGTCCGACCTTTTTGGTGACYGTAACACAATCCAACACGATTGATACCACGTGATAGCTAGCGTCGAAGTGGTGAATTAGAAATACTTTCCATTGTTCTTTAGACATCAAAACTTTCGTTTCTAAACTTTTTCGTGTCTTACCCAATTGATAAGAGTAGTATGAAAAAAAAGATAGTATGATATCGTTTTTTAAAACAGGGGCGTAGCCAAAGGGGGTGCAGTGGGTGCATGTGCACCCCCCACACCCACCCCCCGCGCAAAAGCTAAATGTCCGCTGACTCATTCATATTTTTGAAACCAACTTTCCATCTGCATATGGTAGCATTTTTAACTATCGCTCACCCATTATTGGATTTTTTTTTTGTTTTTGTTTTTGTTTTGTTCTGTAAATCATTGGAATACTACTTCTCAAGACGGCTGTTAGCTTCATTTCCATTCCCCGCGCATCCACCCTGCAAGATCCCTGGTTACGCCCCTGTACAACTGTTGCTAGGCAACGATACCTGGACTTGGAGGGATCACGATTTCTTCTTGAATGTTAGGTCCGTTGTCTTTGTTGCTGTTTATAGCCACCACCTTGACAACGTATGTTCGCCCAGGACCTGAAGTGAAGCATCAAAACTTACAATGTTCTTTTCGTGTCAGGTGTTCGTGACACAGCTGCTGTGTTTAAGTGGGTAGGGTCACGTGACCTCTAAGTGCAAATGGCAGCTACCTTGCACAGGTCAACACCGTCTTCCCAACCTTCCTACCATCCTCTTTCCCTTTCTCCTTGCTATCTCCCTCCCTTCATTCCTACTAACCTTTTTCCCTACCTTCCAAACCTTGTTTCCTCCCTTCCTTCCTACCAACCTTCCTATCTCCCTATCGACCCACCCAC